TACTATTTAACCCATCTGTAAAACAGAAGCAACAGACAAACAAAACATATTTACTCTTTTTCACTGGTTATTACGATTTCTTTCTGCACCATTTCTCGGCAGGATCCTGATTCAGAGCAAGACTCTGAGCGCAGCCACCAGATGGCAGCTCTGCGCTCGCTCTGCCTGCCGCGCCTTACATTTCTGTTGCTCAGCGTCCTGCAGAACTCCACCCGACACCAGGAGGCGCTCCGTCTCGCTGACATCATCTCATCTGACCAACATCGTCTCTATGAGGTGGGTCACAAGCCAACGTGCTTTATAATTTATCTCAAGAGCATTGAGAGTATCACGAGTGAAATGCTCAGCCAGTAATGTTTTTTGTTCACATTTACTGCTCAAAAATTGACTTGTTAACAAATAATGAAGTTAAAGTATTTTAGTTTCACCTGTGAATTTTGTTTACATGAACCCAGGTTTTCTCCAAAGAGGAGTTGAGGAGGTTTCTCCAGAAGCTCAGGGAGTCGTCACTCGCCTTGTTGGACAAGGGACTCGACCCACTGGGTTATGAACTGCAGCAATGAACATAAACACACAAAAAAAGTCTTTTTCAAATTTGTTTATCTGTTTTTGACACACAAAAAATAAAGTCTGCATTTCCTGTAGTTATTATGTGCATTTTTTCCCACATAGAATCACATAGATAGCAATTTAAATTTAAAAATCTAAAAATAGTTGGGAGATACATTTCAATAATTTTCAGTTCCTCCTGGATATTGTAGATTTATGGCTCTTACTGCATGGTAGAGTTTTTACATGTACTTCTTGTACACGTAGCAACGAACTGGAAGCTGAGAACGGGTTTCCGATGTGTTCCTGAGCAAACGCTGTCGGCATCCCTGAAAAAAGAAGAAAAGAGCGTTCAAATTACATTGCTCTGTGTTCTTCTCCAGTCCGAGAGAGGGCGCTGTTTGCCTCAGCAGCTGTTAACCTGCGGGCGAAGAAAACAGATCGCCGTTAACGTTTGAGTTCAAAGGTCAGAAGCAGAAATCACTGCTGAAGCAGCTGCAGCGGGAGGGACAAGAGAAAAGAAGAAAATCCTCCCGGTGTAACGGCGGAGGTGCTTCACTTAGTAGACAGTGGGAGGCGCACTTAAGGCTGGGAACGGAAGAACCACAGGTCGGTGGAGACCCGGAGGACTGGAGTCGAAGGGAGAAAAATATAGAAGAGGAAGAGGATGAAGTAGAGCAGAGGTAAAGTTTTCGGACTGCGTGGCACAGTAACAGACGGACTGACAGCAATCACAAATGTTTCCTCTGTGTTTAATTTTTATTGATTTTCACCAAAATGTTATTATTTCTAATGAAATAATTTGCCCCCAAATCCGAGGCTTTTCATTTTTAGACATTGCAAAAAAATAAAATAAAGCAGCACAACAACACTTCACGAGTTTAAAACTATGACTATCATGGTTTCATTCTACTGCTGAAAAAAGTACTGTACCTCAGGGATTCCCAACCCCCAGTCTGTGGACTGGTACCGGTCCGTAGATCAATTGGAACGGGGCCACGATAGGACACCGTGTCTTTTGGGGGGGGGATTTTTTTGTTTGTTTGTTTGAATGGGGCACCGTGTTTTTTGGGGGAGGATTTTTTTGTTTGTTTGTTTGTTTGTTTGTTTTTTTTTCAAAAAGAATCCACTCACTATTTACTTTCTTTATTTAAAGAAAATCTGACAATATTTAAAATATAATGACAGTGAGACTGCAATACTAACAGAGGTCTAAAACAATTTGATAATTTAACAATTTAACAACCAGTCGACCATAACGGTAAAAATTTAATTTTGAAAATGTATTGATCCATAATGATAATTTAACAACCAGTCGACCATAACGGTCGGTACCAGCTAACTGGTACTTGGTACAAAAAAGGTCGGGCACCGCTGCTGTGCCATTGATGACTACAGCATAGTGGAAAAAACGAATCCCGGGAACAGTCTCTTCATCCTGGAACTGACTCCCAGGTTTTAAATGCACTCATGCTGTCTATGGTTCTTGGTAGCTGCTGCAGTGGAATCATTGCTTAATTAAGTCCAATTATGTTTGTTATTATCTTTTCCACATGTACGCTTTCTGCAGTGTAAACAAAGCTGAAACATCAATTTTTCTGAACTCCGCCCGGACAAGGACGTCAGAGAAGATGTTCAATTTCTCCACCAACAGCCGCATCATCTCTGGGCTGCTGATCAACCTCTTCTCCTCCATCTGCATCGTCTTCATCAACAAATGGATCTACGTGCACTACAGTTTCCCCAACATGACGCTGACCCTGGTCCACTTCGTGTCCACGTGGCTCGGACTCTACGTCTGCAACAAGATGAACATGTTCTCTCCGAAGAGGCTGCCGATCAGAAGGATCGTGTGGCTGGCCTTGAGCTTTTGCGGCTTCGTCGCCTTCACCAACCTGTCGCTGCAGAACAACTCCATCGGAACGTACCAGCTGGCCAAAGCTATGACCACACCCGTCATCATCCTCATCCAGACCACGTACTACAACAAGACCTTCTCCACCAAGATTAAGCTGACCCTGGTGAGCGTACATTTTATATTCTAAAGCAGGGATACCCAACCCCTGGTCTGTGGACTGGTGCTGGTCCGTAGGTCATTTGGTACTGGGCCACAGTGGAAAAAATGTACCTCAGTTTTACCTAGACTATTCAAAAATAAAAATTTCCTTTTTTTAAATTTCTTTTTTCTTTTTTTTTTTTTTTTTTCTTTTTTGATAAAATGGTTGATGTTGTGAGGAAGCATCTTTAAAATCGTACCAACCCATTTTTCTCCAGGTACCAATAACCTTAGGTGTAATTCTCAACTCCTATTACGATGTTCGCTTCAACGTACCAGGCACGGTGTTCGCTTCTCTAGGTGTTTTGGTCACTTCACTTTATCAAGTGGTCAGTTCATTTTTTTTAAATACTTAAAAACAACCAAAATCATTGACGGATAGATTTGTAACTAAACTCCTTTTGCCTTTTTTACCAGTGGGTTGGAGCTAAACAGCACGAGCTCCAGGTCAACTCTATGCAGCTTCTCTACTATCAGGTAAGACAAAATTCCAGAGAGTACTTTACAATATGACTGTGTGTTTACTCTTTATAACCAAAACCATAAATATATAATAGAATATTAAAGAAGTATTTTTCCCCACCAGGCTCCTCTGTCCTCAGCTTTCCTGCTCTCTATCATTCCAATTTTTGAACCAGTAACTGGAAAAGGTGGAATATTTGGGCCATGGTCTATACCTGCTATGGTGGGCAAAACACAGACACGCTGTAAAAAACAAAACAAATCAATGCATCTTGTTGCCTGTTTTTGAAATTTTTTCTCCTTGTTGTCCCCTTTTTGCCCAGATGACGGTGCTGTTCTCTGGTATGGTGGCCTTTCTCGTCAACCTGTCCATCTACTGGATCATTGGAAACACTTCGCCTGTCACGTATCCTTTAATAATTGCTTGGTGAAAGTCCACTTGATAGTCGGGAATCAATGAGATAGTAAATGTGACTGTAACGGTCTGAAACTGAGACACATTTGCTAACGAATGTTCAGCTGTTTATTTTCCTGAATCTTGTTCGCAGCTACAACATGTTTGGACATTTTAAATTTTGCATTACTTTAGTTGGCGGATACCTGCTCTTCCATGACCCGCTGTCACTTAACCAGGTAAGAGTGACTACACGTACCTGTCCCACCAATTGTATGTTTCTGACCAATGAAGAGGGCCACGGGTTTGAGTTTGAGAAACTCAAATCTTAAAATAAAAAAAAGTATAATTAGAAGATTTTATTCACAGACATTTATTTGATGTCCTGTCTGTGGTCCGTAAACCTTTTATTAACCTGTCTGTCTGTTCCTGGTTTTACTCTCAGGCTTTGGGAATACTCTGCACTCTGGCGGGAATTCTGTCTTATACTCACTTTAAGCTGATGGAACAGGAGGAGGGAAAAAGCCGTCTGGCTCAGAGGCCGTAACGGGGCTGTGGCTGTGGCTGTCTATCACATGCACTGGTTCCATTTACCTCAGAGCAGAGGTCAATTTTATACAAAATATACTCGACATGTATATATTATATTAAAAAAGATGATTATTTTTACATCTGAATGTAGAATGTTCTGAAAGGTATTTGAGAAATAGTCGACGTGTCCGAGCTAGAACAAATTTTCACAGCCTGGACTTTTTCATTGAGCCAAAAAAAGGAGAAGATGTGTCATAATCTTCCCAGAATGCACTGCTGCTATTGATGGTACAGTCCTTTTTTAAAAACTTATTTTTAAATAATAAGGCATTGAATAGTCAAAGCTGGCATTGGTGTACTGTAAAGTAAATATTGACAACAATAATAATGGTAACTAAGAAGGCATTGTTAATGTAGAAATAACTGTGTTACTCCTTGTTCTTTACAGTCAACAAATTATTTTTCCTGCTGTAAAACTCAATACTTAACTGTTCTATATGTCTTTGTTTTTGTCGCAGCTCAAGCTTTTAAATTCAGCAGAACATTTTCTGTATGTTACACCAATGACAGTTGAATTTTTACATGTTTTCAGAGCCCACTGCATTTCAGCTTGTCTTGTCTTTTTGCTTTAAGTCTTATACATTATTAGTTAGATTAATCATTTAAAATAAAAATGTTCAATTTTATTTGTCAGAACTATGGTTTAGGTGATTACATTTAAATGGTCTATAGATTTCTTTTTTGTAGTTTATTTAATCGTCTTTTTTTAAACATTTCACGCCAATAAAAACAGTAACAATTAAAACAATTTTAAAGACCCGGAGTGGAATTTCAAACTCTCTTCAACAGTTAGTTCTTTTTCTTTTAACTGACTGAATTGAGCCTGTTTTGGGTTTTTTTTGTTTTTTTGTTTTGTTTTTTTATATATATTTTTTTCCAAACAAATAAAAGTGGCTGTATTTGAAATGTTTCTCTTTGTGGATATCGCACTGCAACAGTACCGTTTCTGTAGGTACAGATGTTTAACTGTGGGTTTGGGAGATGTGATGAATTGAATGAGTGAGTGGGTGGAAAGTTTGTAGGTGTGACTCCTGTGGAGACAGACTCAGTTCTGTTTCTGCAGAATTTTTTTTTCTTCATTTCAGTTTGCTTTGGTTTAATGTTACACTGAAGTAAATTAGGGCAGTGTTGCATCACAGCTCTTAAAGTTACAGTCGGCAGTGAATAAAACACACATTTAAGATAGTATTCCTATACACACTAAGGCCAATCCCACGCTTAGTTCAACTTTAATACAAATAATATGGTGTAATATAATGTACTGTGCATTTGAACATGTACATTGTACCCAAAACTACAATTTTGCTATTTTTACTATATTAGTTCACTAAATTGCCATAGAATTTACAACGATTTTAATTGATGCTGTTTAACCATTTTCTACTATATATATATATAATATTAACGTTGTTGTCACAACCGTAGCTGTCGGCGGCGGTGCCTAACCAAAAAAGTGCAGAAAATGCCCTTATATATTTGTAATCCTTTTGTTGTTAAAGTAATATGATTGAAAGATTATTAAAATAACATCAGTATTTTAATATTTATTTATGTACCCATTTTTATTTTATGAATGAATTCGGTTTTTTTTTTTATTCAAACGTCATGTGTAAGGCCCTGAGAGGGTCCATCAGGAGTTCACGGAAACCAGTCTATGACCGATGTTTGTTTACAATTGCTATCATTAGCAGGTAAATTATTTGGTTTTAACTACACATTTAAACCAAACTGAACAGTTTCAGGTTGGATATTAATAATATTCATATCTGAACGTTTTATTTTTATGTTTTTTCCCCTAGTGGCTGTTAGGTAACGCTAAAACATTTGTGTGCATGAGTCTACACAGTTTGCAGAAATCAAGGCCAGCTGTGCTAAAGCTAACGATTTTTACGTTTCAAACAATAAATGTTTTCATTATGTAAAAGACGTAAATTATGCCGTTTTTAAAATCAAAGAATGTTGCGAAGCATGTTGCTAATACAACGAAGAGCGGAACATTTCCGTGTTAACCGAGGTGGCTAAGCTAGGCTAACGAGCCGTGACTGCGACGACTCTCCTGCGTGGGATCGAGGCAAACTTAGCCTGACAGCAGTTTATTCTTTTGGGGTTATGGTGTACTTAGTTTGTCCAGGTTTATTGCAGTATAAAGTGCATATCACACACATTTATCTTTTTCATATTTGACTATTTGTATTTATATTCTGGTCAGGTTAGGTATATACATTATGTTTGTTTGATATATCCTCTTTCTGTTACTTGTTGATAAAGTAGTGTACCCGTGAGTTCCTTGAAAGAAACAGCGTAGTTTTATAACCGCGTTTATTTATTCATTTTATTAAAAGTCTTTTTAAATAAAATAAAAAAACACCCCGTTTCCTGTCACTAGAGGGCCCTGTTACTGAAACGTGGAAACATTATTATTACTGACAAGTTTAAAACGATTTTAGGTTTAATCAAGCCCTGAAAAGCATCAAAGATCATATTGACATTTCCTTCTAATTTAGACAAAAAAATTCATGCCTTACATTTGTTAGCAAATCCTCTAATCTTTTGGACTGCGTTCAACTGCCAATCAGTCATATTATAATTCTATATTTCAACCTCTTCTAACTTTGAACTGTATGTGTGTTGCTGTGGCAGCTGTACTAAAGTAGTCTGCCTTTGATGTGTGTTGCAAAAGCAGAAGTCCATGGTGTAAGCTAACGCTCACCAAAACAACTTCAGTTGAGCCAAATATTCTCTCTGGTAGTTTGAAACAAAAGCTGTATTATGACTGCTATCTGTTCACGTTTTCCCTTATCTCTCAGTATAATATTGTAGCAAGGGCTCAGTAAACATGGATGAAAAAGATGACAGTTCCTTTGGCAGCAAGGAGAAAGAGAAGGAAAAACCGTTTTCCACCCGTGACAAAGCCAAAGATGAGGCCAAAATGAGCAGCAGCAAGAAGGATATTGGCAAAGAGGAGAAGAGGAAGCGCCAGGAGGAGGAAAAAAAGAAGAAGGAGGAAAAAGAGCGAAGGAAGAAGGAGGAGGAAAAACAAAAAGCAGAAGAAGAGCAGAAAAGAAAGGAGGAGGAGGAGAAAAAGCAACAGGAGGAGGAGGAGAGGAAACTTGAAGAGGAGAAGGAGAGGAAGCAAAAAGAGGAGGAAGCTGCTCTTCTAAAGTGAGTAATAGTTTAACATTATTCTGTTAAAAATCTTGATTTCAATTTGGATTCAAATCTGTCCCTGTTCATCTTTAGAGAAAAAGAGGAGGGCCATCAGCTGCACCAGGAGGCCTGGGAGCGCAATTCAAGCAGAAAAGAGCTCCGCAGCAAGAACCAGAATGCCCACGATGCTAGGCCTGAAGAGGCCTTCTTCAGCCGTCTGGACTCCAGCCTGAAAAAGAACACTGCTTTTGTTAAAAAGTTGCGAACGCTCACCGAGCAGCAACGTGACTCGCTCTCCAACGACTTTGCCTCGCTAAACCTCAGCAAATACATCGGCGAGGCCGTCAGCTCTGTAGTGGAGGCTAAGCTTAAGATCTCCGACGTGGGCTGTGCCGTCCACCTGTGCTCACTTTTCCACCAGCGTTATGCCGAGTTTGCAATGCTGCTGCTGCAGGCATGGAAGAAGCACTTTGAGGCCAGGAAAGAGGAAAAGGCGCCCAATGTGAGCAAGCTGCGCACGGACCTTCGCTTCATCGCTGAGCTCACCATTGTTGGCCTCTTTACTGACAAGGAGGGTCTGTCGCTGATTTACGAGCAGCTGAAGAACATCATCAACACTGACCGCGAGACGCATACACACGTGTCCGTGGTGATCAGCTTTTGTAAGCACTGTGGCGACGACATCGCTGGTCTGGTGCCGCGTAAAGTGAAAGTGGCTGCAGAGAAGTTTGGCTTATCGTTTCCTCCAAGTGAGATCATCAGTACAGAGAAGCAGCAGCCCTTCCAGAACCTTCTGAGAGAATATTTTACCTCACTGACCAAACATCTGAAGAAGGACCACCGTGAGCTGCAGAACATTGAAAGGCAGAACAGGTGAGTGTTATTTTCCTGAGTCTCAGACACGAGGACTTCATCACCGTGCAAATTTACAAATTACAGATTTTGCACATGTATGCACAAAGTATGAGTAAATAACATCTGCTCTGAAATTCATGTGAACAGTGTTTATTGGCAATAGTGAACCCTCAAGAACAGGAATCACTAATATCGTCCTAGTGCCATTTTGACTCGTGGGCCACAATTGTCCTAAAATTGAACTTGGGAGCTGGTTCGAACCCATGACCTTCCTGATATAAAGCAGGACAAACCACTCTTCCACTGTGTGGTCCTTATACACCAGCTCACTGCAGACAAACTCTCATAATTATAACAGGCGCCCATATCAAAACAACAACATGTGGCCTCACCACCAGATGTCGCTAGATCTCACAACAGTGTACTTTTAATGTAAGAGTGCAATATTGTAGCAAGGGCTCAGTAAACATGGATGAAAAAGATGACAGTTCCTTTGGCAGCAAGGAGAAAGAGAAGGAAAAACCGTTTTCCACCCGTGACAAAGCCAAAGATGAGGCCAAAATGAGCAGCAGCAAGAAGGATATTGGCAAAGAGGAGAAGAGGAAGCGCCAGGAGGAGGAAAAAAAGAAGAAGGAGGAAAAAGAGCGAAGGAAGAAGGAGGAGGAAAAACAAAAAGCAGAAGAAGAGCAGAAAAGAAAGGAGGAGGAGGAGAAAAAGCAACAGGAGGAGGAGGAGAGGAAACTTGAAGAGGAGAAGGAGAGGAAGCAAAAAGAGGAGGAAGCTGCTCTTCTAAAGTGAGTAATAGTTTAACATTATTCTGTTAAAAATCTTGATTTCAATTTGGATTCAAATCTGTCCCTGTTCATCTTTAGAGAAAAAGAGGAGGGCCATCAGCTGCACCAGGAGGCCTGGGAGCGCAATTCAAGCAGAAAAGAGCTCCGCAGCAAGAACCAGAATGCCCACGATGCTAGGCCTGAAGAGGCCTTCTTCAGCCGTCTGGACTCCAGCCTGAAAAAGAACACTGCTTTTGTTAAAAAGTTGCGAACGCTCACCGAGCAGCAACGTGACTCGCTCTCCAACGACTTTGCCTCGCTAAACCTCAGCAAATACATCGGCGAGGCCGTCAGCTCTGTAGTGGAGGCTAAGCTTAAGATCTCCGACGTGGGCTGTGCCGTCCACCTGTGCTCACTTTTCCACCAGCGTTATGCCGAGTTTGCAATGCTGCTGCTGCAGGCATGGAAGAAGCACTTTGAGGCCAGGAAAGAGGAAAAGGCGCCCAATGTGAGCAAGCTGCGCACGGACCTTCGCTTCATCGCTGAGCTCACCATTGTTGGCCTCTTTACTGACAAGGAGGGTCTGTCGCTGATTTACGAGCAGCTGAAGAACATCATCAACACTGACCGCGAGACGCATACACACGTGTCCGTGGTGATCAGCTTTTGTAAGCACTGTGGCGACGACATCGCTGGTCTGGTGCCGCGTAAAGTGAAAGTGGCTGCAGAGAAGTTTGGCTTATCGTTTCCTCCAAGTGAGATCATCAGTACAGAGAAGCAGCAGCCCTTCCAGAACCTTCTGAGAGAATATTTTACCTCACTGACCAAACATCTGAAGAAGGACCACCGTGAGCTGCAGAACATTGAAAGGCAGAACAGGTGAGTGTTATTTTCCTGAGTCTCAGACACGAGGACTTCATCACCGTGCAAATTTACAAATTACAGATTTTGCACATGTATGCACAAAGTATGAGTAAATAACATCTGCTCTGATTTGCACATAAAAGTATGAGTAAATAACATCTGCTCTGAAATTCATGTGAACAGTGTTTATTGGCAATAGTGAACCCTCAAGAACAGGAATCACTAATATCGTCCTAGTGCCATTTTGACTCGTGGGCCACAATTGTCCTAAAATTGAACTTGGGAGCTGGATCAGGAGCAGATAGATGGAGCGTTTGTGTGAGCTAGGATAAATGACATGTAAAAGTCATACATAAAGGCTAAAATGCTAAAATCTTTTTATCATTTTCTACGCCATCTATTGAGGAAATGTGGGTATTGCAGTAAAAAGTATAATAATAATAATATAAATAAATTATATAATTTGGAAAAGTTTGGCGGGCTGGATTAAAAAGCTAAACGGGCTGTATCCGGCCCCCGGGCCTTAGTTTGCCCATGCCTGTCCTAGTGTAATTAGAATTAAAATAAAAAAAGTCTTAACTACTTCTCCTTTCCAGACGTATCTTACATTCCAAAGGGGAACTGAGTGAGGATCGGCACAAGCAGTATGAAGAGTTTGCAACTTCATATCAGAAGCTTTTGGCAAACACGCAGTCACTGGCTGATCTGCTGGATGAAAACATGCCAGAGCTGCCTCTAGATAAGACGGTGCAAGAAGGTGATTTTGATTTATTTTTCTTCTCTTAAACTCGACTTTAGTAATAAAATCAAGTGAAGTAAAATCACTATTTCTGTTCAATAACAGAACACGGTCCAGGCATTGATATTTTTACGCCTGGTAAACCTGGAGAGTATGACCTGGAGGGAGGAATCTGGGAAGACGAAGACGCTCGAAACTTCTACGAGAACATGGTGGACCTGAAGGCTTTTGTCCCCGCCATACTCTTTAAGGACAACGAGAAGAGTGGTCATGCCAAAGACAAAGAGGACAGCAAAGGTAACTGTAACACGTCGAAGACAGAAAAATTAAAACGCGACAAAGCCACACGAGCTTTCACTCTGACGGTGCTGCTGGTTCTTGTGCAGATTGTAAAGAAGGAAAGGACAGTGGCAGCACCACAGAAGAATTGGAGCTGGAGCTGGAGGCCCTGGACATAGCCGATGAACCATTGGAGCTGGAAGGAGCAGATGAGGCAGAGAATGAAGAGCTGGCCAAAAAACTTTTGGATGAGCAAGGTACACAAGGTCTTTGTTTATTTAAAAAAAAAAACATAACAAAGGTTGTTCAATTCCAGCTTTACAGCAACGAGGACATTATTTCACTATCTTTGATTTGTGTGTTTGTGTAGAGCAAGAAGAGGAGGAGACAAACACTACGTCCCACTTGAAGCTCATCGTGGATGCCTTTATTCAGCAGCTGCCCAACTGTGTAAACAGAGACCTTATCGACAAGGTGCGGCAAAAACGAAAATAATGCTTCTGAAGCCAAGAGTAACAGACTAATTGGGATGTTTGCTCCATGTCTCCAAATGTTATTGTTGTTTAAGATGAGAATTGTGTCTCCACCTGCAGGCTGCCATGGACTTCTGTATGAACATGAACACAAAGTCCAACAGGAGGAAGCTGGTCCGAGCTCTTTTCACCGTCCCCAGACAGAGGTAAAGACACTTAATGTAACCCTGTGAGAGAATTGCTGTAAGGTACCACCAGGTGGTGCTCACATTATATGGTAATCTGCTTTTGCTCTCCTCAGGTTGGATCTGCTCCCCTTCTACTCTCGACTGGTGGCAACTCTGCATCCCTGCATGTCAGACGTGGCTGAGGATCTGTGCTCAATGCTGAAGGGAGACTTCAGGTTTCATGTACATATCCCCTCCCCGCTGTTGCCTTTGTTGAAAATAGGTCACATGCATCTGTTTGATGTTTTATGTAATACAAGTTTTTCATATGAAGTGATTGAAACATACGTTTGATGTTTTATGTAATGCAAGTTTTTCATATGAAGTGATTGAAACGGTGATCGGTTTGTGTGATTTTTTTTTTTTTCAGATTCGTAAGAAAGACCAGATCAACATTGAGACCAAAAACAAAACCGTCAGATTCATTGGGGAACTGGCCAAGTTTAAGATGTTCTCAAAAACTGACACGCTGCACTGTCTGAAGGTCAGCGAAGGCATCTCAGATCTGAGGTTTGATGTTGAGGAGGTACTGGGCCATTTTTTCTCATTTGTGTGTGTGTGTATTTCCTTCATGACCAGATGCTCCTCTCGGATTTCACTCATCACCACATTGAGATGGTCTGCACACTGCTGGAGACGTGTGGTCGTTTCCTCTTCAGATCTCCAGACTCACACCTGAGAACCAGCGTCCTCCTGGTCAGTGGACTCACACACACCGTCACTGTATAAACAATTGGACTTTGTACTAAGCGGTAGACTGAATGTTAACAGCTGTTTATTTTTTCTTCCTTTTTTTAGGAGCAGATGATGCGTAAGAAGCAAGCGCAGCATCTGGACGCACGCTACGTGACCATGGTGGAAAATGCCTACTACTACTGCAACCCTCCACCGGTGGAAAAGACGGTGAAGAAGAAGCGTCCGCCGCTGCAGGAGTACATTTGTAAACTCCTCTACAAGGATCTGTCCAAGGTCACCACGGAGAAGGTGCTGAGGCAAATGCGTAAACTCCCGTGGCAGGAACCGGAGACTAAAGGCTACCTGATCTGCTGCATGGTCAACATCTGGAACGTCAAGTACAACAGCATCCACTGTGTGGCGAACCTGCTGGCCGGTCTGGTGGCTTACCAGGAAGACGTGGGGATCCACGTGGTAGATGGAGTCCTGGAGGACATTCGACTGGGCATGGAGGTAAGGAGAAAGGAGTCGGGAAGTGGATCTAGATTGATAGATTGAGTCCAAAGTGCAGAAAGAGAAGAGGACGGAAATTAAAAACCCTTAATGTTTAACTGGACATTTCTGACAGTTGATCTGCAGCGACAAAAAACAACAATAGCTGTAACATGTTGCAACGCATGACAGCTTCTCAGCAGTTCACCGTACAATTATGTTATTGGTGACTTCACAACTTGTAATCTGTCTTAGTGAAACTAAGCAGGAAGCAGCAGACCAATCACTTACACTCAACACTTTTTTCTCGAAGGAATGCAGAATATCAATAGACGGTAACACAACGCCTTTGTTTTCAGAAGTGAGATCTTGTCATAAGATCCTTTTTACCTGACAGAAAGTATGACATTGTCTCGTTCCCACAATGGGTGACACTCACCGTTGACCTTTGTGCACTCATGTATACAGAAGGGTTTGATGTGGCCACAAAGGTGAAGTAAAGAGATAAGCGACAACAAAAGTATATTTTATTAGCACTGCGACATCTTGTGATTCTATAAAAGACCTGGGTCTGAATGTGCTCTTTATTATAATTTGAACAATTTATTTGGCAAGCCAGTGAGCCATATTCTGTCCACGAACCATAGCTTCCTCATTCTGATTCATAAAGTGTCCGATTCTCCAAATTTGCACCGTGAGAATACTGCAGTATTCACAGAAAAACTACACCATGGGTATGAAACGTGATCACTACGTTGGGGACAAGACAGTTATTCAACAGTCTAGTACTAAGAATGGTCTCACCACAAATATTGACTATAACCACACTGTAATCAATTCATGGGATCTGGCGACTTAACTTAACCTTAAAATGCTGTAGGTTGAGGACGTCGTAAATCGAGGATCCCTGGTATTTTCATCTTAGAAATTTTAAATTAAGCAGAATTGCACAACATTAAAAGAATGTGAGTCAATCATTTTTTATTTAGACATCAAATGCATAAAGTACTTAACATATGATACAAATATTTCCTCTGCCTCTATCTTCGGCCCAGGTTAACCAGCCCAAGTTCAACCAGCGCCGCATCAGCAGCGCCAAGTTCCTCGGCGAACTCTACAACTACCGCATGGTGGAGTCAGCTGTCATCTTTCGCACCCTCTTCTCTTTCATCTCCTTCGGGGTGAACCAGGACGGCAGCCCCAGTCCTCTGGACCCTCCGGAGCACTTGTTCCGTCTGCGCCTAGTCTGCACCCTACTGGACACCTGTGGTCAGTACTTTGACCGTGGCTCCAGTAAGAGAAAGTTGGACTGTTTTCTCATCTACTTCCAGGTAAGTTTTCTTAACAAACGCATCAGTCTGCATATATCGGTATTGGAATCGGAATGAAAGTGGACAATATTGGCAAAAAGTTAATATCGAACATCCTATTTTTGACTAATCCAGATTTATTTTTGACTAATCCAAAAACGCTGCATCATAACAGTGGCTTGTAGAATGTGTCAAATAATCAGTCTGTAGTCCCTTAAAGTCCATTTGACAGTCAGTCAGCTTGGCAGTCATAGACTCATTTACTGCACTGAGGTTGGTGAGGCTGGTCTGACACATCTGACTGAAAGTTGAAGCCTCGGCTGGATGCGATAGTATTTTGAGCTTCTTCATTGTGTCCAGTTAATAACGTGTATAGACGGTATTTGAGTAACGATAACTGAATGTACTGTGGAACTATAGGATATCCACTTTGCGTCAGTCTGCCCTTGCATTAAAATGTTGAAAAAAATCAGAGTAATCTTTGAAAACTAGCCTAAATTTCTATCAAATATGTGTTAACAATATATTTCATATACGTATATTAACACTTTCATTAAAAAATGGTGGACATTTTTCTTATGTCAGTGGTCAATAATGATCAGAATTTTTTTCCTAAGAAAGCAGAACCTGTGTGGCTTTATTAAATCCCAAAGGAAATGAAAAATGTTCATTTTGTTTTTGTGTGACGATGGCGTTCGGTGTCTGCAGCGTCGTTCAACTTTAAAAATAAGCCAACTAAATTGTCTCTCCATTGTGTCTGCAGCGCTACGTCTGGTGGAAGAAGAGCGGCGACAATTGGACCAAGGACCACCCGTTCCCCATCGACATCGACTACATGATCAGCGACACCCTGGAGTTGCTCCGACCAAAGATGAGACTCTGCTGCTCAATGGACGAGGCTGCAAAACTGGTCTCTGACCTGGAGAGGGAGGTTCTCATCAAACTGGGTGAGGAAGAGACGTTGTGTCTCTATACTTTTCTTAATTACCTCTGTGTGTGTGTGTGTTATGCAGCTGGTTCCTCCAGTCCTGTAGCTGCTGGTCCATTTCACAGGTTCAGTAGCATTCCTGTTGTAGGAGGATCCGTGTCCTGCACCGATGTTTTTCTTTGCGTTTGCGTTATCTTATCATGTTTTAGCTCACTTGGCTCAGTAAACTTTAGTTAACAGCAAAACATTTTCTTATAAACCAAAGTTATTCATTATCCTGTTGCTGAGAAGTACAGAAAACCCACAACCACATAAATGCAATGTATTCCAGATACAACACTGCTCAAAGGCGGCCTTTATATTATGACAACAGTCTAGTCAGTCAAATTTAATAAAAAGCATGAAATAAATTAATCTTTATACGAGTCTAGTTATTTTAAAATAAATCATTAATTTTACTCGGTTAACATCCTACTAAACTGACGACCTTTGGTTTAAGGACATAAACATTGTCGTTATATTCTGCATTTAACTTTGGTTTAAGGACATTAACATTGTCGTTATATTCTGCATTTAACTGTTCAAATGTCAGATAATTGTCTGAACTCATTGAACATGACGATGGTAATTAGTAGCAGCTATTTATTTTATGAGACCATGTGTTCTATACATCAGTGATTATCAACTGGCAGCCTGCGGGCCGAATCTGATCCACCAAACCATACAATCCGGCCCGCGACTGGATTCCAAATAGACATCAAATAATAATGTCAGACAAGATTTTTAAAAAGTTTTTTTTTTATTTGAGTGTCGACTAGAAAAATTTTGGCTTCTGTCTTACATACATGGGCATTAATTACATGTTACTTGACATCTAACTAGTTGTCTTTAAGTGATAAGTACTCACTGTTCAGGGTTTGGCTGCACAAGTATTTATTATTGTCTCTCATCATGTTTCAAAATAAAATAATTGATTGTTGTTGTTTTTTTCCCCCACTGTAAAGGTATGGCCATGGAGAAAGATGGCCGCTCCAGCGCCATGAGCGAGGGAGAGGCCATTGATGAAGAGGAGGAGGATGAGGACGAGGAGGGAGAAGCCGAAACTGAGCAGTCGGGCAACGAGAGTGAGATGAATGAACAAGAAGAGGATGTGAGTCATGAACCTTGTTAGACTTGCTTTTGTTTTTATTCCATCACATTTTGATCGCGCTGCCTCTCTCACTTGACGCAACGGCGTTCAGTGCTGGATGTTCTTGTTCGGCAGCAGCAAAAACTTAGATCTGTGTTGTCTAGAACAGACATGACAAACTCATTTTGGCTCAGGTGCCACATACAGCCTGATTAGATGTCAAGTGGGCCGTACCATTACAAGTATAGCATAAGTACCTATAAATAGTCCATGTTTTTCCTCCTTTGTTTTTATGCAAAGAAGTACCAGTATATTAGAAAATATTCATGTTTAATGAAATATTATTTGAAAAAACATCATCGACATGAAGTGTTTGTGCATTTTCTTTTAACTTTGAAAAATCAACAAGCAGGCCAAATTCAACCCCCTGTATGTTTGACACCCGGTATTGAATTTTCTTAAGTTTGAAAATGTGTCCTTTTTTTGGATAGGATGGTTCTGAGAATGAAGAGGAAGAGCGAGATGAGGAAGAAGAGGAGAACACAGACTATCTGACTGACTCCAATAAAGAGAATGAGACCGATGAAGAGAACAATGTAATGTCAAAACCCACAGAGTATTAGAAAAACACCACAGTTGTTTTCATTTATGTGTGCTAAATATTTAATTTAAAGTACGACACATACACAGTGTGTGTGTGTGTGTGTGTGAGACCTTGTTAGTGGTTAGTGACGATGTGCCGCATGTGTGCATAAGGTTAGTGACGATGTGCCGCATGTGTGCAGGAGGTGACCATCCGTGGAGGTGGACTGAAACACGTGGCCTGTGCTGAGGACGAGGACTTCATCCAGGCTCTGGATAAGATGATGCTGGAGAACCTTCAGGTACCAAAGCTGCTAATCTGCTGGTTAGCCAGGAATTGTGTGTGCATGCTTGACACCCTTCCGTTAGCTCTAATTTTAATGTTACGCTTATGTTTTCTTTCTGCAGCAGCGAAGCGGCGAGGCAGTCAAAGTTCATCAGCTGGACGTGGCCATACCTCTGCAGCTCAAGAGTCAGCTGAAGAAGGGCGGGGCCGGGCAGACGTGCCTCGGGGAGACCGAGTCCGATGTCTCGGAGACCATGCAATTCGTCATGTTGACACGCAAGGGCAACAAACCGCAGGTTAGCATGCACAACTACGCAGAATGACGTTGTTTGATAGAAATGTTTAGGCGACTGAGATCTGAAGAAAAATATGAAAAGAAAGAAAACCCACACAATGGCAGACGTGTCAACTGTGTCAAGGCTGCAGCAGTCCTAAAACTTGCATTTAGCCAGTGAAGCTAATTAGGTAAATAACATGTATATCAGCTTAGATCTACGTTACCTTTGACACACATTCACATATACAGTACATATATATTTTATACATATTAATATATGTACTGTATATTTAAATATGCACATATATTTTATATATGCATATATACATCTATCCTAATTATATGTGTAACCCCCTGACCTCCTATAAATATATATATCTGCCTGTGAGTATATATGTATGTGTGTACAGTGTGTATATATATATAAATATATATGTATGTGTATATGTATATATATAAATATATATGTATGTGTATATATGTATAAATGTATATATGTGTATATATGTATATACAGTATACACACACATATGTGTGTGTATATATATATATGTAGGTACTAATTAAAACATTCATACCTGTAACATTCACACTTCACACGCAGCCATCAGAGAGTTAAATCCAGCCATAAGACCAAGAACATTCTCCACACACACACACACACACACACACACACACACACACACACAGACACAGACACAGGATGCTTTCATTCTGGCCAAGTGATTATGTTAATGTTGCTGTAGTGTATGTGTGTTTGTTTACAGATATTTTTTCCATAAACACAGACACACCTCACTCTTACACCTACAAAGATGTCCTGTGTTCTCTCTCTCCCTCTCTCTCTCTCTCTCTCCCTCTCTGTCCTGTTTTCATATGGATGAAGCAGGACTTTTTTTTTGGCCTGTGACTATTTGGCAACTGTCCTGTGCACACACCAAGAACCTGTGGACAGAACGCTCCATCAGACCTCAGTAGCTTGAGAGACACGCGCACACACAGTGACACACACGGACACACCCAACAGTACAAGAACGAGCCTCTGCTCTGCAACCGCACATTCCACCGCTGACGGCACACAAGCACGCACACACACCCTCTTGTTTCTGCACAGCCATGATGACATAACCGTATTTTATTAGCGCCTACTTACTAAACACGTAATTCAATTTTAACCTTGGACCAAACCTCAGCCATCAGGTTATTGTGGACTTGAGCTGACGTCGATTTTATAGCTGAGTCTTTCTTTTTAAAGACTCCCAAATTCTGCCCTTCTGTCATTCAACCACAGGGGTCGCTCACACCGCTGTCCATGTTGGCTGTGTGTCAGTTCCCCTCACAAGTACCCATATAATTAAGTCTTTTCACTGTGTATAAAATGGTTCTGTACTCCTCCTACATTTTATTCACACGGCCACCAAAGCCAAAATAAGTTTTATTTACCATAAACCATGATTTGCCTGAATGTTGCGACCAAATTGTTCGTTGTGTCCACCTGTTGTCGTACAGCTCCGTGGTGAAGTCGAGCTCTTTGCTCTGTTTAGCTTGGCTGGCTCTAGAGCTGGCAGAGACCTGGAAAGTCGAGAAAAGCCAAATGTTTTGTAGGTTCTTGTGGAAGGTTTTTGAGAACCAGGATTTTACATTTATTTTCATTTTCATTTTTTTTTCCAACAGTACAAAATCCTGAATGTCCCGCTGTCATCACATCTGGCAGCCAATCATTTTAACCAGCAGCAGGCAGAACAGGAGGAACGTATGAGGATGAAGAAACTGACTCTGGACATCAACGAGAGACAGGAGCAGGAGGACTATCAAGGTACCACACACTAGGATTTGATTACTACAGACGGTCCTCAGGTTACGACGTTCCTGACCGAGTTTTGTGGTTACACCTAAAGAGCCATGTCCATCATTTTGACGTACGACTATAAAACAATGGGAAATGGTCAGCGAGTAGATTAGGCGAATACCATGTGCAACAATATACGCACAAGATGTTTTTTTTTATTTTCACCAGTTTTACGCCATACATTGAGTTGTGCTACATTCAATTTCTTTGTTTATCTGGGAACTTTTTGCCCTTGATTTTGGCTCCTAAAAGTAGGTCAAACTCTTGTGATGTTTTTATGTCCGAGATTATGATGTTGTCACTGTGTTAGCTTTGGTTCTAATGTACAGTATGCAATTTTCGACTTATGGCAAAAACTGAGTTGTCACACCATAGAATTGCAACTGTGCCTTAACATGAGGACCCCTCTTATTGACATCTGACCAAATATATTATCAAATACAGAAGACAATATAAAGGTCATCCTTTCACAGAAATGTTGCAGTCACTGGCTCAGCGACCGGCTCCTGCCAACACCAACCGCGAACGTCGGCCTCGATACCAGCACCCGAAAGGAGCGCCTAACGCTGATCTGATCTTCAAGACTGGAGGAAGGTGAGAGACCAAACCGTTTTAACTCCGCTTTTTGTTTTAATCTTTTCCCCAATTATTTAATTCTTATTAATCAAATCTTCAGAGCTGTCGAATTTGATTTGTTTGAGTTCGACTCAGTGCCCCTACAGTAACTCCCTGCCTCTGTCCACCAGGAGACGCTGATCACAATCTGGACCACAGGCGAGCTACAAAGAGAGTAACGATAAAGCTAGAGTGAAAATGAGAGAGAAGATCGGAGTGGAGACCGGTCGAAACCAGGGAAGGAGTTCCTCCAGAAACCCACTGACCTGCTGGGAAAGAACACAACCCCCTGACCTCCTGAAGACACACTGACCCTGCTGAGGCCTGCAGCCTGAGGAGTAGCGCCACCTCCAGGAGCCTGAGGATCGGAGGAAAACGGGTCAGACAGACCACTCTCTCTCTTCAGGTTTTTGTCTGTTACCAGGGAAGGGGAAAAAACCCAACAAAAACACAATAACCTTCTGGTAATATCTTAGAGACCAAACCAGTGATGACCAGAATGATCAACGTGACGCCCCCTGCTGGGACAATGACTTGTGTTTAAAAGTAAACAACTGATATCTGAAACTGATTTTTATGTTCTCATCTGTGTTTTGGACCTGGAAGCAACAGATTTTGCGGAGGAAGTACAGGATAAAGAAGGTTTAACTCGACACAGGTGTTGTTCCGTGAACTTTGTCCAGGTTTGTTGGTTGGTGTGGTTTGAAATTAGTGTCTAAAATTTCTGGCAGCTGCTGTTGAGAAGAAGGAGAAATCATGGCGAGTGAGGAAATATTCTCAGCAAAGTATTTTGAAGCTAACATCAGGTGTTTCTATAGAATAATGCAGCACATTAGATTTTTTTTCCTTATATAATTTGTTACACTGAAACAAAGACACGACTCACTGTGTTGTGAGGACTCCACTCACTTCAACCTGTCTTTCACCCGCCAAAAAAGAAAAACAGATTGTAATACCCCCACAAAGCTATGGGCCATTGCGTAATATGTTGCATTGCGTAATCTGAAAACGTCTGCAGTACAAATGCTGGACAGCATTTCTTTGTAAACTGTTCACTCGCCAACACCAAAGTCCATAAAAAAGTGGCATTAGCTTACTGCAGTTATGGAGCCATTGCTGCAGGGGTCACCAAATATATTTGTCGTAGAATTGTTCTGGACAGACACCGTGGCGGCTGCACACTCAAATAAAATGAAATTTTAAAAAAAATCACATTCTGCTCTAACATCATTACTTGATGTGTATTTAGAAATCCAGACGCTAGCTGGATTGGATAGGTTTGGTGTTGCGGGCTGCTAGTTGATAATCATTGAATTGCTGCCTCCTTTATTCAGGTCAAATGTTAATATCTATCTTAGCTTTTTTTTTTTCCATTGTTTGGTTTCGCATCAATGACACAACCTGACCACTGAAGGCAGTAGTAGTCCAGTTCAGGAACTTCTTTGTCCCTGTGAGCTAAATTCAATGCTGTTCTTTATGGACCTTGTTGCAGGAGGTGGTTTACAAAGCTTTTCAAAACTTTTTTGTTGGTAAATTAGTATGAGACGACGCCAGGTATAAAACCGTGATAGAGGGTTAGCTAAAGAAGGTCCAGTGTTTGACATTTGTCGACATCTACCTGTGAGATTGCAGAAAGCATCAACTGAACTGAAAAGTTAAGTCCTTCGGCAAAGTGTGGAAAAATTTCAGCGGACTTGCAGTCAAAATGCTAATCCTGGTTTAACTGAGCACTTAAATAAATGTAAAACGGACTTTCTCAGGTTTTTGCCAGTATTTTTTTGTAAAAGCTTCAAAACAAAAAATAATAATCGGAAAATAAATTGGCAAAAAACATTTTTCCCCAAATTTAATCTTTATTGAAACTTGTTAGAATCATGGAAGCGTTTAAATAAGGTTTACTGACGTGTATAAATAAAAATAGTATTTTGACTTCTGTTTCTTCCAAGACTCGTTTTAATGTCGAATTTTCTGACGTGGCAGTTTTTCTCTTAATAATCCTGTATCTGAGACTCTCCTGCAGTGACCATAAGTTCTCTGACTATTCTTTGTCCTTTTAGCTGACATTCATCAGTGAACGTGGACATTTTTTTTTCTTTGTAATGCATGAACATTTCTGCATCAACTCTTTCTTTATAAATCGCTGTTGAGCTCTTGAGTCTGGATTTGTGAATGTTTAATTTTCCCTGTAACCTCTGACCGTTTCACATCTCAGATGAGAATAAAACGTGAAGATGATTTTTTTCTCTCTCTCTTTCAGTCACGTGTTTGTTTAGAGGGCGTGACCTTCGTCCACAGCTAATGACAAGGCAGCAAATGTAAGAATCTCCGCACTTCCTGTAAACACTGCATTCCAAGAATGGTGTGGCCTGTGCTTAAATCACAGAAAGGGCTTGGAATTCTATGATGCGTTTTTCTTGTCATTTACTAAGAATGTATAAAGCACTATGAAAGGCCAAAGGTGTCTTTAGAGCACGGGTGTAAAACTCATTTTAGTTTATGGGCCGTATACAACCCAATGAGATGTCAAGTGGGCCGGGCTGGTATAACCATAACATAATTAACTATAACTTAACAATAATCTGGGCCGTATGTTTGATATCCCGACTTCAGAGGGGAAATTCTCCAAGAAAATAAAACAAATCTGTTTTGTTTTTTTAAAAGTCTATTATACAAACATGTTGAGATAATTAAAAAAAATGGCCAAAACAATCACTTCAGGCACAGAAATTTTATCAACAGTTTATTGTCAAATACTTCACATACATGTGCATACTGTAACAGTTGCAGTATATACTGGCTTTTACCAGTACTGATAAAAATAATGTGTAGTACATATACTGTATTATTACATTCTTCTATACTTTATATCAGTGACCACCAACAGGGGGCACGTGGGCCAAATCCGGCCCAAAGAACCGTCCAATTCGGCCCGTGACTGGATTCCAAAATAAGCATCAAATGATAAAGTTAGGCAAAAATCTAATTTTTATCTCGTTTGATTTGAGTATCTGGCCCCCTTGTCCAGAAAATATAGTTATATTAACAAAGGAGCCTAAGTGGCACAAGGTTAAGGTTCACGCCCACCAGGCGGGAGGTTCTGGGTGGGATTCTATCTAGTTCTTAGTACCTAATCCCTCGTGTAGATACACAGTGTGTACACTGTATGCACCATTATATACTTCAAAATATCTGCAGCTGAACTGCAGTGAACCGGAGTCTGTAAACAAAAAAAATATTCAGACTAGAATCTGAGTTACCGTAGGTTGAGCTACAGTAGCAGCAGTCTAGAGTCTAAACACACGTAGACACAGTTAAAAACACACAGCAGTCAAAAAAGAACAGAAGAAGTAGTGAAGAGGAGAAAAAGTGCAGGTTATTTCCAGACTCTCCTGTGGTTTCTCCGCTCGTGTTTTGCTGCTCGCTCGTCTCAAAGCAGCACTTTTTTTTAAAACCCGGTGTCAAAGTAAAAGTTGTGTCGTTTCCACAGTCTGTGGTTTTCGAGGGGGAGTGGAATAAAAATATCCTGCCGTTCAGAGTCTCAGCTCCCAGTTCCACCCAAAGTCCTGATGGTCGTGCTTCTGTTCACTGTGATGTGTGATCGACCATCAGCAACGGGAACGTTTAACAAATAGTCTTTCAGGAAAAGTGCTTTAACTTTCTTCTCGCCCAGAAAAGAAAAAAGTACAGAGAAGATTCAGAAAAGAAACGATCCACAGTCTGAGAAAAGCTGGGTTCTTTAGTTCTTAGTGTATCAGAAGAAACGTTTTGTTGTTCTGTAAGCCGTACGTTAACGTAACTGATTTCCAGGTGAACTCACTTCAGGTAAATTTCTGCTCTTTTACATGAATTTAATAAAAGACTCAAGTTCTAAATCCAAATTCTCCTGGTACCACTATAAAGATCCAACACAATGATGCTGAACTTTTTCAATCAAAACTGCAATAACGTCTAAAGAATCTAACAGAATAACAAACGTTAACTAAAAAAAACAAAACATATTATTTACTTTATATATATATTAAAAATTCTCATAAATGTATATAAACCCACCCCATTTAAGCTGTCAACTTGTAAACATGAACATTTTATATATATATATATAATTTTTTTTATTTGCTTTTCTCACAGAGCTATCGTCCATCCGCACGCTGCGTTTCTGCAGAATTTAGCCCTCACTAACATTTGTAGCCATGTAGATGAGATCAATTTTGTTTGGACTTTGCTAGTTTTTAGGAAGCGTCCAAAATAGTGCTGCTGCTGCTGCTGGTGGTGTTCCATTTTTTGGTTATTATTGCTTTGCTTTTCCGGTCACATGATTATATAAAAAACAAACAGTTGAACGTTGAAAAACTGTGTTGGGTTGGGATATTTTGTAGCAGTGCTAACAAAACAGAGATGAAAGTTTATTTATAAAATAACTTCAAATGTCTGACTGGTAGAGTATTGATTCTGTAGTGTCGATATATCGATACTCACACAAGTATTGATTGAGTATCGATTACTTAAAAAAATAATTATAATTGTTAAATGCTTAATATTTGTCATATGTTTCATTGGGTAAATAAAGTCACACAAAGTAACAATATCGGTATCTGTCCGGGAAAAATATTTGTCAAAAAAGTCATTAGTATCATATCGAATCAATAATTTTGGTATAGCCCATCACTACAGCACTAGGGTTTGTTTTCACCAAACTGGACATGACCAACATAAACAGCAGCACTCTGCTCTTTTTTTAAGGGTAAAAATATGGAACTGGTTGTGCAGGTTCATCATTGGTTCCAGCTCCCTTTGGTAAAACGAGGCCACACTGTCTCCTCTCTCTCAACCACACCTAAACCAAAGAATGAGGTTGGACTGGTGGCTCTCTTGAGTTGATCAAAATTCTTTAAGCAACCCAAGTTTCCTCAAGGCTTCCTTGCGGGACTCATCTGAAGCCCCTCGCCCACCAAACTGCACCGTTATGCCTTGTGGACGAAACAGGGAGTTGGTTCTCCGCTTGTTGTGATCCATGGGTGGTGCAGGTTGCGCTTGTTTGTGTTGACTGATGCCATGGTAGGAGTGGCGTGGTGGCCTCGGTGCAGGTGTGGGTGGTGGAGGTTTGACTGGCAACGTAGCAGAAGGGTTGAAAGTCCGACTCTTTCCACCATAATTGTTGGTTTCCACGGTTACTGATTGTTGGTGGGCAGACAAAGTGTGCGACGTAATGGAAGGGTTGAAGGTTCGACTCTTTCCTCCGTAACTGTGGGGCTCGATTGGTGGCGGCTCTGATTTGGCAGGGAATGTTTGACCCTTGTTAATGTGAGAGCTGAGGATGTCTGGAAGGTCGTTCCTGGTCACAGTCACAGAACCGGTGTTCATAACTTTGCTCTTTCCTCCGTAGGAGTTGAACTCACTAGGTTGTTCCAGGGCAGCTTGGCGGGTTCTTGGATCAGGGCTAGTTGGAGATGCCGGAGTTTCATTCCTAGAGGAATAAGTAGGGTGAACCACGATGGATTTCCCTCCGTAGCTGTTAAATTCAAGCGAGGTGATTTCAGGTGGCGGGAGGACTGGTGACTTGGTTGCGAGAGGAGGTGGAGAGAAACTTCTTTGACTTACTGCTGGTGGAGAGGTGTTTTGTGTAGGATTTCTTTCCTCTTGGGTCCTGTGAGGAGTGGTCTGACTGCTGTAATACCCTGGACTCAACTGTGATGATGTTGGTAAGGAATGTTTGGCTTCTGTTGTTGGGGTATGGCTGGACTCCAAAGGTATGGCCGTCGCTTCAGCATCTGAAGGTGGACTGAGAACGGTGGCGGCGCTAAGGAGGGTTGTACCACCAGACATGGCTCTGTTCCTGTTAAGGCCCAGCTTAGACAAAGCCTCCATTCTGGATTTGTCTGGGGAAGGATCCTTAAAGGAAATGCTGCGGGTGGGAATGTTCCTAGCCTTCTGGGGTTCCGTGACTTGTTGAGGCTCTTGCTGCAGCAGCTGGTGGGATGTGCCTGAGAGGTTTGCAAGCATTTGTGCCTTTCTTTCATGTATGTTCACGTTCCCCACATTCTGACCGTGGTGCTCCTTGCTGCCGAGGATCACGCTGATGTTAGGTGGGAACCGGGTCGGCTTGACAGAAGTAGGGGGGCCCTGTTTTGAATGATGATCAGTGCTGTAACGAGGTGGGTTTTCAGTCTCAAGGCTGCTGCTCCGGTGGAGTGAGGACGAGATGGTGTCGGCGGATCCGCCCGATTGGCTCTCGGCGATCTTTTGGGCAATCAGAACTGGGGTGGGGATACATCCTGGTGGGTGATAGGAGTAGTGGCTGTCTGAGGAACCGAAGCTGCCGCTTGGTAGAGGTGGATTGTACTCTGAAGGTAAGCTGTCATGGGATGGCTTTACCTCCACGTGGCTTTCAGGTGTCACCATCATACTCTGGAAATCTGGGGGTCGAAAATGAATTGTTGGCTTTTGGTTGCTTAGAGTAACAAAAAAAAAATGTAGGTATTTTTGAAAGTTTACCTGGATTGGTGGGATTGAACATTGGCTCCTTTGTCCGAATTAAATCAGGTCCTGGACGAACCAGGTCTATGATTTCCTGGTCTTTGGGACTGACAGGTCTAGCCATGACGGAGGAGGCCGTCACTTCAGGGTGAGAACTTAATGTTGTCACCACACCACTGTCTGGGACAGGACTTCTGCTTCGTCTAGTGGACGCCATGTACCTCAAAGTCCGGTCCTCTTCATTTATGCTCTCCTCCAACGAGTCAATTGTGTCTTCAAAAAACTGGATACATTCCGGCTCTACCTGGCTCAGAAAGTCGAGACCTGTCTGTTGGAACAAGAAGTTAAGAAGAAACTGGTTATTTCTAACTGCATAGGCAGGTAACGGTTATGGCTGAATATGCATGTGATCAGAAGAATGGACAAACACGATCAATGATTTGGCGTAGAATACTTATTTGGATTAAGAGTTAGTGTTAGGATTTGTACTTTATTTTCTCGTTTATATACACAGCACGTGGGGTGTTTACAGAAGTGAGTTTACATTACTGTAAACAAAAAACCTTTAAAAGTTAATAACAAATTATAAATTATATTATCGTGGATCGTGATTGGTTTATAAAGTCCAGTTTCTAGGGAAGAATTTGATTTTATTGATTTTTTTTTTTTGGCCATTCTTCTTATAATGTGAATTACTTTTTAACAGTCACCATGTGTGCAGTGGGAACAAAGACCATTTTTCTTTAAACCTTCACACATTACCTCATACAATGCATTGTGTGACCCCCCCACTCCCCTCCCGTACCTGTCCTGTTTCACACAGCGCTGCCACTGAGAGACGGCGCAAAAAGGCCTTTTACAACCACAGACCATGACCTCCTTTTCCAGTTCTGATAAAGATCGATTCAAGTTTTTTTAAACCATGTGGCCAAAGGGAGCAGGCAGGAAAAAACCCTCAAAAGACGGGGACCTAAGAAGAATTCACCAACACCTGCTGGTAGATGCATAGAAAAATCCTTCAACCAATAAACAAAGTTAACTAGCTTTGAGCTATTTCACTTTTCTCACAACTTTATAAGCAAATTTTCTTGGGCCAACAATACGTTTTGGCTAAAGCAACTTTATAGGCAAATTTTCTGATATTTACGCTATGCATTTTGGCTAACTTTTGGCTAACTGATTTGTTAAATTTTGCTTCACTCGCATTAGGCTAACTCTAAGGCTAAGAAAGGATAACAAGCTTTTTGCTGACTCTCAGTCCTTGGGCCAACAATACGTTTTGGGTAACCTAGCATTAACAAGTTAATGTTAGGTTTTAGAACAGCATTAAAAGACAAATTCAGATTTTAATGGAAAGAATTTCTAAATCTCTCTTCATTTTTCAATTCGCTGAATTAATTAACTTGCACGAAGATAGATAAAGTGAGGACTTTGAAAACATACAACAAATGCACCCCTATCAAAGACCTGATTGTGACACAAACACGAGCAACGGGTGAGAATCCCTACAGTAAGCAGCAGCTGTCTCAAGGTGACCTTCGGCTCGCAGTTGACAGGGGAAACACAGATTTGTTTTGTTCGCTCTCTGACAAAGACACCTGGCAATCAGAAACACCCAGATCAACACCAGACCTGCAGGTTTCTGCTTAGATGAAAGGACTTTATTGTCAGTCAGAGGCTGAGGAGCTGAAAAACTGCAGCACAACCGGTCGAGCACGATTGTCACCTCTGAGGCTGATGGGCGGAGGAAGTGTGTGTCAGTTTGTGTTTCTGTGTGTGTGAAGGTTGAGGATGTAACGTGAAAGTAAAATAAATATTTTTTTTTTTTACACAACCTGCAGTATCACACCCCTGGTAGATTTTGTCACAATGACCACAGGCTGTATTTCCTTAGGATTAATGGATGTATATTTTTCACAGTAATGTTAAAAATAGAGCCTTTTGTGTTTATTTTTTGTCATTTTTTTTATCTCACCTTGGTCTTATTTATGCTGATTTTTTAACTAGCTTTTGAATTGTATGCAATTTAACCATTTCATTCGGGAGTTAAAAAATAAAACTTTCCTAATTTGTATCTTTCTTTCTCAGGAACTCACGGTTTTGCTGTATCTTCTTCTTTCCCCTTCTCCGTTCACAGGGTACAGGAGCCCAGGGTTTGCCTGCAGACGGGCATCCATGTTGCCAGGGTCAGAGGTCAGGATTCATCAAGCATCAGGGAAGCTGGGAGGTGTAGCATCGGGTGACGTATTTGTTGTGGAGGAGAAACCAGATTCAGGTCCAACCTTGGTCTGAGGACTTATTTAAGCTACACAAAGACAAGAGATGACGCTGAGCTGGAGAAATTCTCTTCAAAAGATTTACATTTCAAAGATTGGGCCAAAAAATGAGGTAAGTCTGAGCTCTTAAAATTAAGCACATGAGCAGAAAAGAAGAGTCAACCTGAAAAACCAGGTAGAGCAGAACAACTGGATCCTGAAGAGGAAAAAAAAAAAATCTAAGATAGATCTAGATAAAGCCTTTTTAGCTGACTCACCCAGAAAACATGCATTTAAAGTTAAAAATGAAGAAATGTAACATAAGAAACAGAAAATTCAGGCTATAAAAACATTAGACACAAAATTTTATGATTGCGATAATAATAATGACCCAACTCGATTCTTTGTTTTTTTTTATTCTATTTGTTAAAATATTAAAGCCTAGAGTATGCGTCAAGTCAATCAATTTTTTTATTTGCTTTTTTTTAGAGAATTCTCACTATCTGTAAAAAAAAACAAAAACTTGTTTTCTCATGTTAACGTCTGAATTCAAAATTCTTGATTAGATTTCAGCAGAAACATTTATTATTTTCTATTGACTATTTGCTAAATTAATTACAACATTTTCTTTCTTTAAAACAAGAATTCTAAAAGTTATGGAGCAACACCAAGCTTACAAAAAGGGAGACTTACCCTTTAAATCTACACATGGTGATTCTTCATCTCCAAGATCTTCGCCTCAACCAGAAAAATGGTGAATCTTGTGCAGAGGAAGTCCAGAGGAAAATGGTCCGTTTGTTACTGAGTTTGGGAACGAGGTTATATTGCACCTTTAAAGCTCCGCCCACTGTGTATCTGCTCGTGTGTGTATATATAGGAAAAAGTCCGTTCAGGAAATGTTGCTGACATTTAGGATTTGCAATGCATTCGTTGCCTTTGGAGAAACATGAAAATGTATGTTTACATTTTTATTAAAACTAGTTCTAATAGATGTGGCTTACAAATGACTTGTTTCCTCAAATGCATGTGTTTATCCCATCTGAAAGACTTGAAAACCTATAAAACATGGCATGTCAGCCCCCCCCCCCCAAAAAAAAATCTTAAACGGAGCTAAAATTACCTTAGAATAAAACATAGCTTTCTAACCAGGTATGACTGAAGATTACTAAAACATTGTTTAAAAGTCAACCATGTTTTTCATTATCATTTTATTGAGACACCACAATGTTAGCCCAGAAATTACAAAAAAAAGGAAAAAATATTTAGTTGTAGCAGAAACATTAGTATGGCGAATGTATGAAAGACCAAAGGGTGAAAAATACAAAATGCTGTTAAACGTTTGCTAGCTTCAACTTTTCTGTAGTCCTGATTTGTTTGATGTACGCGCCCTCTGCTGACTGGAATTGTTGACTCTTTTTTTTTGCTCATTTGTTATTTTTGTTTTTTAAAGGAAGAGTATTAAATGTTGTCAAACCTGCCCACATAATAAACGTCCCCAAATCGAAGAGCATAAGCAAATACAAAGATAAAAAGTTAGTTTTTCTTACATTAATTTAAGGAAGTCGCTAGGAATCTTAAATCCATAGAGTTTTTAGTTGTTTTTATTACAAAAACAGTAACAAAATAAAAATCATGCGTAAGTGAACATATATCTGTTAAATATAATAATTGTAATTTTTTGCTCATGTTATGCTCATATAGAAACCGAGCTCATAGATTCGACGTTTCTCAGCAGTCCCTGAACGCATCTGCGCTGTCAGTTTGTCGTAACCTGCGTCAATACGGCTGCGCCTATTCGTCATTGACTGTGTCCGTGTTTGTTTTCTGCATTTCATTTTTTACTTATTTGTTTTTTTGTATGTGTTGTAGCTGTAACCTCGGCTCTGCTGCTTCCCACGTACACGCACACGTTACCTCGGTAAGTCCTTGTTTACTGTGTGTTTTCCTAACGCTACTATGCTCAGCGGAGTCTACACTTAGCATGATGCTAACATTAGCCCCTGAAGGCAAATACGCCGTCGTAGCAAACTTATTGCCGTCATTATGGGATACTCATACATCCTCTGGCCTTTATTATGTCACATTGTCTAGTAAGCTGAGTTAATACAGTCACATGTGGTTATGGGTACATCACTTCAACTGTTGTTTATGTAATTCCATTTTCTATCACATCACGCCGGGTTCTGTGCAGTGGCCGATAATAAAATCGGGAGCTCATTAGCTACGTCGACAACTTCGAGATGCTCATTTATGAATCCTTGTTTTTGTTGACAGATGCCAGATGTATTGTTTTCTATTCACTTGAACCTGTTTTTCCTTTTCGTGTTGGTGTCACATTTTAAAGCACTAACCGAATGCCTTAATCGAAGCTGTTAGCGCAGCTAAGCCTATCTTAACACATGTCAATGGCTTTCATTTAAATCGACATTAGCTCCAAATGCTAATGCAGCGAAACCTGAAGCCTGTAAAACAGCGCAGACATGCATCATTCATGCGGACAGAGTCAAACGATAAGAGCCGGTAGTAGAGAACAAATAACCCAATCCTGTTGCTGCTGATGCTGCATATTCACACGCCCCCCCTCCGGTGCTAGCAGCAGCTGTTAGCATAACAAATTCTGTATGTATGCGTTTTAGGCTGACTGTATTTATCGTCCTGCTAGTGTGAAGCAACTGTCATCGGAAACAGATGTATTTTGAATGCATTTGACTGATAAATGTCTTAAAAAATAGGTTTTTCCCAAAGTAATGTTTTTTTTTTTGGGTGGGTCGGCTGCTGTGTCTTCTTCTTCCCAAGCTTCTACTGTACTACTAGTTAAATATATGATATGAAAAATTGAAATGGACATTTTAAAACAGACAACATAATTAACTATAAATAACAGTAAGTTCATGGTTCCCCCCTTTGTTGTCATGCAAAGAAGTACAAGTATTACGTATTTATTATTTATTCATTATTTAATGAAATATATTTTTACCTTTTTAAAATATCCTGAACATAAAGTGTTTGTCTATTTTTGTTTTGTTTTCAAAATTCATCCAGTGGGATTAAACACCCTAGTGGGCCTGTTTTGGTTCTGGTTCCACATTATGAGGACAGATTGAATATAAGCATTGTACCAGGCTAACCTAGGGTCCACCAAATCTCCTACCTGAGAATTTGATTCTTATACATAGTCTATTGGTAAGGTTTTCAATGAGGAACAAAAGAACGAGTGCTATTAAAAAGTACTCACCGTAACTTGACAGGGATAATAAATGTAAAGGAAAATTATCAATAATATTTTCACATTTCACACTCAGTCTTGGCCCACGGGCCGTGTGTTTGAGGCCTCTGGTTTGATTGATGTATAAGGATCGCTTCTGGCTTGTCCCCTTCGTTGGAGTCACCACAGCGTCTGGAGAGTGATTTTAGCTTTTTACATTGAATGCCCTAATTGATGCTAACGTTCACTTTTTGTTTTGGGTTTGTAGTCAGTGTGAATAGTTTTTTATTAAACGACGTAAGTTGGCACTTCACACATCTACATACCTGGGATGAGCTTTTAACTGTGTGGCTTGAGTAACTGGATTTTAAATGAAGGATCTGTTGGTGTATCAGGTTACTCTCTGTATGGGCTCTTCAGGAATGGTTTCCATGGAGATGGTCATCTGACAGAGAATGGCCTGGTTGGTCCAAGGACAGGATCAAATTTCAAATGAATTTGAACCTGGATTGATAAAAGTCACAAGTTATAGCTTAAATGTTTATTGTCATATTTTGTTGTTCCCCAGCAGAGGGCAGTGTCGACAGCGTCTTGCATTTAAATATGGATATGGACCTTTTTTAAATAATATTAGATGGGTTAATCAGTGACCTTTTTTAAATAATATTAGATGGGTGCGACGACACACACACACACACACACACACACACACACATAACCTTTGCTCCTCAGATGTGGTGACGTAGGGTTTTTAGAGTTTCACCGACTTTATTTGTCTTGGTGAACAAGTTGCTGATTTTATATGCACAAACAGTCATAGGGTGTGACACACCTACTTAACACACACGCACACAACCACTCACTTAAACTGATGCCACTGAGCGGGTGAGACTGCCGTGTACTTCAATACACTGAGGTGAAAACAAAGGGAGAGTTAAAGTCACACTGTGGTAATTCTTAAGATGAGGTGATGAAGGTAATCATGGTGATGTAGGAGGGAAAAAATCTTTGGAATGAAAATGCATTTGTTTCTTTGTTGTTTAAATTGGGGAGTTGTCTGTCTTTGCCAATCCTTACAGTTGGACTGAGAAACGTCATGTGTTAGTCGTTGGTTACTAATACATGGCTGTTGAAACCATGTTGCAGAAAAATGTTGAAATTATGTTTTCTTTCTTGTCTGGGTTAGGGTTAGGGTTCTGTCCCATTCCAGAGGCTTTTTTGTATGAACCCACAGGTTGAGATAGCTCAGTCCATCTTACATTTGTAAAATGCAGCAGGGTTTATGTCAAACTCAAAAATGACATTTTATTCAAATGTTCTGAATCTATTCACACACAAATGATAGTTAGAAAACTTTAAAATGATGAAATCAGACAAGTATTTAATCAAAGCTCATCATGAAACAGTTTGTTTGATTGTTGTTTTTTTATAATGATCTGTGTAAATGCTTTTAGTTTCTACTACTCCTAGTGGCAAAGTGACGTCTGATATTGTATTCTTTAAAACCGCAACAGTTTTTTGGCATAGCAAACATACAATCTGATATTGTATTCTTTAAAACCGCAGTTTAAAACAGTTTTTTGGCATAGCAAACATACAGACGTTGGACTTGAATATTTTGTTGTACACTCCTTGTCAAACACTCGCACTCACTGTCCACTAATTTTTTCCTTGACCCACCCCTTTTTACTGAAGGGTTGGAAGTTCAAACAAAGGCCAAAGTGAAGTGGTGAAGTAGAGAGTAATAAACCTCACCCTAGCGTGTGCCATCTATTGGGGAAACGGGAGCATTGCAGGCAAAATGATAGCAGTCTAATAATAATATAAAATCATAAGATAATCTGGATATTCAGTGGGCCAGATTAAAAGGCCTAACCGGCCATATCCCTCCTGTGGTGATAAAATGGAACTGCATACCTCTCCATGGTATTCTTTTGTATTTGCAGTTGTTTTGTAAGTACAGGTATGTTCATTGCTGGCAGTTTTACTAAAGCTCTCTCTCTCTCTCTCTCTCTCTCTTTCTCTCAGGTCAAAGAAGAGGTCATTTGTGTATTTATTTGCCAACTCTACATCCAGATTTTCACTCGCTGTTCTTCTGATTAATTTCTGACTGGAAATCGTCCAAGTTTTCTCCTGACGTCTCTCTCCAGCGCTGCACTATGGTAGAGTCAATACACATGCACCTGCACACACACACCCAACGCGGTCACACAGCTTCACCGATGTTCACATATCTGTGTGTTTGCTCTCGTGCACAGAGTGAATGATGTCTGAGAGTCGCTGCCATGGCGTGCAGCAGCCGTCAGACCAACGCCGAGACACTGGAGGGCTTTCATGAGGTGAACCTGTCCTCGCCCACCACACCTGACCTTCAGGTAGGTCAAAGGTCAATCTCCTCTCATCTTTCTTTAAATGTTTTTCACTGACATTTTCACTCCTTCCACTCTTCCTGCAGAACCAGGCGGAACAGCAGCAGCAGCAGCAGCAGCAGCGCCCTCCTGCCCGTCACAACACACCGCCCACTTCTTTGTACCGCACACACTCACTGGGAGCTCACCCTTCTGGCCTTCCCACCTCCCTGCAGGCTGACCAACTCCCCACTCAACCAGTTTACTCCACCCCACGGCACAGTCACAATGGAAGGTAACCAAAGAAAACTGACAGATATTGTTCGTCAGATTGTCAAGACAATAGGATTACTTGTTTTTAACAGTCATTTCTGAACAATGATGGCTCAAAAAACTTTGAGTCTGAAAAATAGTCCAACAAACTAACCTCACCTAATCTGTACAAAAATGTAATTCAAGTCAATAATTTGTGTTTCGGTCTGATATTGGTCAGAATTTTAGGATGGTTGGAAAAATCAGCTATAACCCGTGTTATTCGCTTAACTTAACTTTGCGCAACATACCGTAAACGGAGACACTGTCGTCCTAGCACCAGCAGCCCATGCCATGCTGGAGGAGACAAGGAGGTATCAAATTCTTACTGATATTGGTTGCAGCATCGGTATCGAACATTAATAGTTGTATTGAGCTAAAGTTATAACATTGGTATTGACTGTGACCAGACAATTATGGTTTATCAATAGGGATGTCTGACAGGAACCTTTTATCAAAATCTGATATTTCGATATTGTTCAAACACATTGAACAATATCCGATCACGATATCAACCGATATCAATATATGCAGCAGTTTTTTCCAAAAACTCTGGTAAACGTCCCAGGACTCCACAAGTGATTGCAGCATTTTTGGTGAAACCCAGGCATTGCGTTAAAAGACTTTCGGAGAAACCAATAACAGTTCTCACAGATATTACATAATTATGCTAATATCAGTCGGCCGATTTTATAAGACATCTCTAGTTATCAGTATTGGTTGGAAAATTAAATCCATATTGTATATATAATACTGAGCAGGTGTTCACACCTTAACACCTTCTTCCTGATGACCTACAGCATCCCAGGCCTGGAGTCTGAGTCCTCAGACACTAAGTTCCAGTCCGGAGAGGAGGGGGACGAATGCAGTGCTCTGAGTGACAGTCTTTCCCGGCTGCGCAGTCCATCAGTGATGGAAGTCAAAGAGAAAGGATACGAGAGGCTCAGGGAGGAGCTGGCCAAAGCACAGAGGGTAGGGGGCGCCCATGAGTTCATATCACAGAAGGAACACTTGAGTAAAAAGTTAAAGATGAGAGTGTGCGCACGTGTGTGTGTGTGTGTCTGTGTATTTCAATATAAGCTGTGTGAGTCCGAATGTCTGAGTTTCTATATACGTATATATATATTTTTAGATGCATTTGTTTAGTCATTATTTTGTGACAAATAATAAGGACACCAATGGAAAATGTTCCACAAATGCAGTGTAAATGAAAACAAATCTAAAGATCGATAGAGGAAACCCCACACCCCCCCAAAAAATGACGCCCCCCCACTGGCAGAGAGGACCACCGACTAATTTGCTAATTTAATTTGTGTTACTCACAACCAGCTGTCATGCTTTTTGACTTAGAATCTTTAAAAAGTCAGTAGTTCATAGTATAAAACTAAAATGTTTATTTAAACCAAACAAATAATGATAAACATTAAACTCAGTTTCATTTCTCATTGCTGTCTTTATTTTGTATTATTTTTTCAGGCTTGTCTGTTTTAATGGCCTTTTACAGGTTGGTTTCTAAAAAATAGATACTTCCATATTAAAATGGAATAATTTGAAATACTTTAAAAAGTGATTTTTCTTTCCTGAAGAGGGCGTTAAAGCAGACTCAATGTTTTATTTTTATTTTATGTCACTTTTTTTTCTACATCCTTTTTGTTGCAATTTCATATTGTTGCTGTCACATGTTTATTTTGTGTATTTGTTTTTCTTTTGCTGTTTTCTTTGGTATATGTTTTGTGCATTTTGTACTCGTGTGTGTGTGGGGCGTGTGTGTGTGTAAGGATCTGCTGTTGAAGGATGAGGAGTGTGAGAGATTATCTAAAGTCAGAGATCAGCTCGGCCAGGAGCTGGAGGAACTCACCGCCAGTCTTTTCCAGGTCGGTTCATCTTTCGTCCCTCCTCCTGTTTCCTCTTCCCTCTGAGGCACCGGCCTGACAGACTCTGGACAGGAAAATTAAAAATCCGTCTAGATCAGGGGTGTCAAACATATGGCCCAAGGGCCAAACACGGCCCACTTGATGAATTTTGAAAATAAAAAAAAAATACACAAACACTTTATGTTCAGGAAGTGTTTTGTAAAATTATATTTCAATAAATATGAAGATTTATCTAAATTGCATGAAAACAAAGGGGAAACAGACTGTTATTTGTAGGTAGTTATGTTATGATTGTACTGGTGATGAAATCAAAGGGGAAACATACTGTTATTTGTAGTTATGTTATGATTGTACTGGTCTGACCCACTTGACATCTAATTATGTCGTATGCTGCCCCTCAACCAAAATGAGTCTAACCCCCGGTTTAGACCTTTGCTATCATCACTGCCTCACCTAAATGAGAAATTATGAGAATGTCCACAAGAGGCACTGTTCTTAGTCTCATTCATTTTCCTTTTCTATAAAAACACCCACCAAAATGTGTTGTTGGGTGCAGACGGCTCAGCAACAATGTTTGGAACATTTTTTGAGTCTCTTTTCTTTCAGCTATTGATTAGTGAGTTTCAGCACGTAGCCTGTCACGTCTAAACTAGGGATGTCGGATGTTAACTTTTTGCTAATATCCAATATGCCGATATTGTCCAAACACTTAATTTCCGATTCGATTGCAGCCGTTTCCCCCCCTAGAAACTGCAGTAAAAGTTTCAGTACCTCAGATATTGAATAACATATTTGGTGAAACACAGGCATTGCATTATCAGGTTTTCATTATCAGAGAAAAACCATAAAAACTTCATAGAGATATTATATAATTATGCTAATATCATATATATCATCCGGCATCCCTAATTTTAACATTTTCTTCCCTTCTTCACTTTTTTTGTCTTGTTTCCTTTGTTGGACTTTTCTTCAAATCTGTGTGGATTTTGTCTCTGTTGTAAAATCTGTTCTTTTTCAGTCAACTGTTCCTTTTCAAATCTGTGTGGATTTTGTTCTTTTTCAGTCAACTGTTCCTTTTTGGGGCTTGGAACCATTTTCAACTTGAAACAAATTCCTATGAAGATGCAAAATAAATACTGAGTTACACATTAAACTACGTTATTTTGTTTCAGGAAGCCCATAAAATGGTGAGAGAGGCCAACGTGAAACAGGCCATGGCAGAAAAACAGCTGAAGGAAGCTCTGGGCAAGGTCATTTATGTTTGCTTCTACTTGTTTTTATTTTGTTGAATTTATTTTCTTTTCGGTTTTTGTCTTAATGCAAAGACTTTTTCTTGTTGCTCATTCTTTTTGTTCTTACATCTACCATGGTCATCTTCTTCATCGTCTTCCTCTTCCTCCTCAGATCGATGTTCTCCAGGCAGAGGTCCAAGCCCTGAAAACTCTTGTCCTTTCCTCCCCGACGTCACCTGTGGGAGAGCTGCCCCCTGCTGGTGGCGGTGTGAAGACGCCATTCAGAAAGGGCCACAGCAGGAACAAAAGCACGTCCTCTGCCATAATGGGGACGCAGCCCGACCCGACCGCCACACAGCCCATTGTGCGAGAGTGTAGAGAGGTAAAATAAAATGAGAAAAAAACCCAACTGCAAACACGGAGGTAACAAATGTGACGTTTGATGTCACTGTGATTTAAACCTCTGCACTCAGGTGGATGTTCAACTCTTCAATGAGTTTAAAGCCTGGAAGGAGGAGCCCACGCTGGACAGAAGCTGCTGCTTCCTGGAGAGAATTTATCGAGAGGACATTTATCCCTGTCTCACCTTCAGTAAGAGTGAGGTACAGTGTTTGAAAACCTGTCGAATGAAACCTGCGTCTTTG